TTTACCAGTTCAGTGGTTTGGATTTGGGGCTCTTTTGAAGTCAGAGTAGCCATGTTGGTAGATGTTCTTCATTAATGCATAAATGAGCTTACAGGTCTGACTCTACATATCATATTTTAACCAACTACACTGGTTATGTTCAATAAATATATTTTCTTATACTTAGGCATGGCTATTTTGATTTCTTTAAAATCCATACGGAGGTGGTATAAGTTCAATATAATGCTTTAAATTCAATAAAATCAATGGAAATGTATGTTTAAAATAAATATATGTTTAAAATAAATGCAATTAAAATATTTTCCAAAAAATTTTCCAAATCTCTTTCATATCAGAGGATGTTTTGATGAAATCTTCAGAAAGAGTCATAGAAAACTCCAGAAAGGACTATATCTTCAAAACTCCTTCTAAACTTTTCTTTTTTTTGGTCGGTCATGGGGCTTTTAATCTGGGCCTGGGCGCTGTCCCTCAGCTCTTCAGCTCAAGGCTAGCGCTCTACCACTTGAGCCACAGAACCACTTCCAGTTTTCTGAGTGGTTTATTGGAGTTTAAAAGTCTCACAGACTTTCCTGCTCAGGCTGGCTTTGAACAGAGATACTCAAATCTCAGCCTCTTGAGTAGCTAGGATTACAGGCGTGAACCACGAGTGCCTGACTTCTTCCTTATAAGCTTTTAATTCAAGACCCCTATATACATGATAGTATTAAACCCATCAAGTGGGTTTTTGGTTTTTTTCTTTGTTTGTTTGTTTTGGGGCCTGGGACTTAAAGTCTGGGCCTGGGTGCCGTCCCTGAGCCCTTCAGCTCAAGTCAAACACTCTACCACTCGTCCCTGAGCTCTTCAGCTCAAGTTAAACACCCTACCACTCGAGCCACAGTGCCACTTTTGGCTTTCTGGTTGTTAACTGGAGATGAGTCTCACAGGGACTTTCCTGTCTGGGCTGGCTTTGAACCACAATCCTCAGATCTCAGCCTCCTGTGTAGCTAGGATTACAGGTGTGAGCCACCAGTGCCTGGCAACCCATCTGTTAATAGAAAACTGTTTCTGGGGTGTTCAGGTGTGGTTTATTGAAAGATCACTTGCTTAGCATGCACATGGCCCAGGAACCACTATTCTTTTTAATCTTAGCGAATATGACCAGTTTGTATGATTATCATTTTTTTTTGGTCTGGTTGTGGAGCCTGAACTCTGGGCTTGAGCACTGTCCCTCAGCTCTTCAGCTCAAGACTAGTGCCCTACCACTTGAGCCACGGCGCCACTTCCGGCTTTTTTCTTTTTGCTTATGTGGTGCTGAGGAATCGAACCCAGGGCCTCAGGCATGCAAGGCAAGTGCTCTACTACTGAGCCAACTTCCCAGCCCCTGTATGATCATTTTTACAAAGCATGTACCCCTAAGCCTTTTTGTAAATAATTCATATCTGAATAAAGACCTACATAGTTTAGTATTCTTCTGAATTTATTTGGAGTGATGCCAGCAGTTTTTGAAGTTTCGATAGTTTATGTGAGAACAATGAAAAGTCTAACCAAGTAGAAGATGAAGGGTGAGTCAGTAGGCTGTACTATGCAGACCTGGATCCCTGCAGGATGTAGAGTATCACTAATGTGGTTAACTACCAATGGTAAAGCTTAAAAACAGCCTCATTTTTTCTTTATGCTGTCACTTCAACTAGACTACCAGCTCTTAAATGTTAGCACCTGACTTACTCATCTTTTTTGTACCTGTGCCTGAAGCATCACAGAGGCTCAAAAATTTCTTTTGTTTGGGCGTTTTTTGTGAAATATCCTGTATTTCATCTTTTTGGGGTCTTCAGAGTGTCTCTTGCCCCTGTACTTTCTTGACATAGTAACCATCTCATTCCCTAGCCTTCTTTCTTGACTATATTTCTCTGTAGTCTGTTGGATAATGGCTCTTCCTCACCCCCGGGGGAATTCCTGGGTCCACACAATGTATACATCTTTCTGTAAGCACCAGTACATTTTCAAAACAACAGTTATTCAGTGCAGGTAAATGTAATTATAAATAAATGCTGTATATTAGGCAGCCTTTTTTTAGGAATACTTTAAAGCTTATACTGTGATATAACCTATGATTTTAATTGGACACACAGCCATGCATAAATTCTTCGCTAGTTATAGTAAAAAGTAAAACTATGAAGCCAAATTATGATTTATCCTTTCCATAGGTTTATTAAAATATATACACACTTTTACATATTTATACTAAGTCATATGGTACATGATTCATATGCTTCTCTTTCAGAGTGTTTTTCATTAGTGCTAATATTTAATGTTAGATATACTAGGGAAACCCTTTATGCCTCCTCCCCTGAAGCCAGAGAAGTGTATTATCTTAATGTATTTAGGAAGCAGATAATTGTACACTTCAGGTGAAATTAGATCAAGTGAAAGCGAGTTGCTAAGACTGTCCTGGAAAAGTAGCCATTAGGAAATTAAGTAATTCTGATGGTAATTTTGTCTGAAGAAATGTTTTAGGATGAGAGGTATTATGTAATTTAAGGGAAAAGGAAACCATACGTTTTGGAGCAGTGTTTGTGAGGAGATATTTCAGAGGTAATGACACTGAGATGTTCCATGGTTGTGTTTGGGACAGTGAGTCTGCTACACAGAAAAGGAGGTCCCAGCGGCATCTGCCTTGTGTCTCTGCTTTGCCCTTTTCCCATTAGCCTCTGAACCGGCGTGACATTCAGTCTTAACTGCAGACTAATGGCATAAACCAACCTAGAAATCCCATTATTATTTGAACTACCAGACGTCTACCTTCTATAGAAAGAAATCTTAAAAGTAACTGATAAAAGGAGACTTTGATGCATTTGGCAATTGTAATACCATGAGCCTGTGTTCCCTGTGCCCGATCCCCTCCCTCACTTACATTCCGCTCAGAAAATGTTTTCATGTTGCTATTGGGTGGGATCCAGTTAGTCACTCTACCAGCATGCCTTCTCTTCTTTAGTCATTCTCCACCACACTTGGACATGTAAAATCAGTCACCAGAGAACAGATCAGAGCCGCCATGGTTTGGTTCTTTGCTGTGGTGAAAACTTCCCCTAGTATGTAGGATTGTTGTGGTCTGTAGAGAACAGGTAAGCAATTCATACAGAATCAATTGGCTGACATAGATTCATTTTCTGTCTCAGAAAACTCATTCCCCAGTTATAAAGTATATAGCTGTTTATCTGAATGAGACTTGGTGTTTGTGTATTTTTAGAGTTCTTTCTTGTCAAGCAAGTAAACTTAGAAGTTTACTGGTGTACTGGACAAGAAATGCTTCATATTGCCTGATGTTAGTATGTGATTATTAGATGTCACAATTAAGTCAGAAATAATTATCCAATATTTTTTTCACTAATGAGATACAGACATAAAGTTCTTGCTAAATCTTGAAATGAGTAAACATGTTAGGCTTTACTAAAATTTTAGCATTGTTCTGAGAAATTGCAAGTTAAGTCTTCACCTGAGACTTATGGTTAGAGGGTGAGCTAGAGTCACCAACCTGTGAGGGTCAATAGGATCTACATTATTTTTTTGCCTTGTGACCTTTAGTACATTACCAAACCTTTCTATGCATTTTTCTTCATCTGTAAAATAGAGATGATATAGGTACCTGTATCACAGGGATATTGAAAGGATCTGGGAGTTAATATATAGAAAAAGTTTGAAACTGAAACCCACTTGTTCAATGTATGTTAGCTGACATAATGATTGTCGTTAATTTTCACATTGTGTAGTGATGGAATACATTCTGTATATACTCTTATGAATTGACTATGTGTGTCTTTCTTTTTATATATATTTTTTATTGTAAAGATACTATACAGAGAGGATACAGTTACTTGAGTAAGGTAATGAGTACATTTCCTATTGAGCATTGTTACTCCCTCCTTTGTTTGTCCCCTACCATCCCTTCCCTCCCCACCCCGCCAAGTTGTAAAGTTCATTTTCAATATAGTGTCTTACATCTCATTGTTACAATGAGTCAACCTGTATCCTTGATTCAGCATTTTGTTATTTCCTTTCCCCTCCTCAAATTAGAAAAAAATATATATATATATACAAGATTTAAGGCACAGGAATCAAATACATTGATAACAGGGGTTATACCCTGGGGGAAGAACATACAAAAGAAATAAATCATGTAGTACATTAAAAGCAATAGTGACAAAGATAAAACCTCTGTGTCCCTATCTTGGATTCATTTTGCTTAGCATCTATGTACATAGCTTTCGACCGTTTCTGCTTCTTATCTGGTAAGATTATCCTAGACATATACTAGTTATGGCAAATAAGGGAAACCATGGGACCTATGTTTATTTGGGCCTTGGTTTATTTCACTTAATATAATTTTTTCCAAGTCTTTCCATTTCCTAACAAATGGGGAGGTGTCCTTCTTTCTGACTGATCCATTCATGTACTGAGGGACATCTGGATTGGTTCTATATCTTAGCTATGATAAATAATGCTGCAATAAACATAGTTGTGCTTGTTTGTGATTGTTTGGGCAAATGTCCAAAAATGGGATTGCTGGGTCATAGGGAAGCTCTATGTTTAGTCTTTTGAGGAACCTCTATACTACTTTACAAAGTGGTTGAACAAGTTTAGTGTGTGTGTCTTTCTTTTGTGCTGTACTAGGAAACCAAACCCAGGGCCTTGCGTATACTGGAGAAGTACTTTACTAGTGTTATACCACTAGACCATTCTTGAATTGACATAACAAATAAATTTTATTCAACTGAAATTGCAGATCTGTTTTCCATGCTCACGTGAATTGTTTAATTTATGCAAAAGACATGTTGAAATTGTGCCATGGAACTTTGAAATTGTTTCCCTTAAGAAACATTAAAATGCTTAATTTAGTAAGAGAAATGGCATATGAATAAATGAAATATGCCTACACATGCTGAAAGGACGTTGCTTTATTTGATTCAGGAGTTCATGCTTCATACAGAGTTGCACAACAAGCACATGTTTTTGTTCTTGAACAGGTTTCTGCATGTTTGTGCTGAGCTTGGTGAAGAAACACTATCGGCTGCAGTTTTATATGGTGTGTATTAACCTTTATTTTGTAGTTACAAAACCCTACTTCTTTTTTTTTTGTATAGTGAAGAGATATAATCTAATCCACTACTTGATATCTTCTATATCTCAGTGTTGGAAGACCAATAAACGTAGTGTTGGAAGTTGAAAGATTTTGTAGCCTGGTACAAGGGACTCAAGCCTGTGATCCTAGTTACTCAGAAGGCTGAGATCTGAGGATTATGGTTCAAAGACAGTCAGAGCAGGGGATTCTGTGAGACTCTTATCTCCAGTGATTCGCTAAAAAAGCTAGAAATGAATCTGTGGATCAAGTTGTAGAGTGCTAGCCTTGAGCAAAAGCGCTCAAGCACAGCACCCAGGCCCTGAGTTCAAGCCCTAAGTCCTGCACAAAAACAAAAAATGTTAAGTCTTCTCAAAATTTTTGTTAAAAAGTTGCAAAGATGAAGAATTTTAAATTATTTAAATTCCCTGATTATTTAGAAATTTGAAACATTTTCAGTCTCCTGGATAGTTAGGTGTGGGAAACATCTACTCCATTGGTTGCTGGAAGTCAATTATGTTCCCAGATGGGTAGCATGAGTGTAAAGCAAGCAGGCTGAGGATATTTTCTTGCTAGTTTTGGTTAAACATAGAAATTCCTTTTTACACAGAGAATTTTGCTAAGTAAATCAAAGTTTATGTTTTATGGAATGTATACTTTGTAAGCTGAAGTTTTCTGAATGTACAGCTAATAATCAGACTAAAATAAAATTTAGTATATAGATTTGTGAATTTATGTGTTAATAAGACTTACATTAGACTTGGACTATATCTCCTATTGGTGCTTTGCTTTTTTGTCTTAAGACAGTCTGTTGGGCTGGGAATGTGGCTTAGTGGTAGAGTGCTGGACTAGCATGCATAAAACCTGGGTTCGATTCCTCAGTACCACATAAACAGAAAAAGCCAAAAGTGGTACTGTGGCTCAAGTGGTAGAGTGCTAGCCTTGAACACAGAGAGGCTTAGCAACAGAACCCAAGCCCTGAGATTGGCAAAAAAAAAAAAAAAGTCTGTTAATTATCGTTGGTGGGAAACTGTTCCTTACATTCTTAGTTTCAGGGAATCTGAAAGTAAAATTATTAGAAAAATATTTGGATAATCAAATTAGAAAATAAAAGAACTACTGTGAAAATAAAATCCTCTCGGTGTTTTCACCAAGTCTCTTGGTTCTGTGACTACCAAAATCCCTTTGAGTAAGGCCTTCACATAAAATACCATAGCATTTTCATAGAACGTACTTACATCCTCCCATGAACTTCACCAGCTCTGGGTTGCTAATCCCCAGCACAGGAAAAGCACTGTGGAAGTAGTTGTATTATATTATCTAGGGAATTTGAAAGGTCATCTTTTAAATCTCAATTAAAATAATGACTAATGCATTGGAGCAGTAGCTTCTTTTGGTTTTCATTCTACCCACAGTGATTGTGCTACATGGCTGAAATAGCAGTGTTTGAAAAATTAACACTAAATTCTGTCATTGAAGACCTGTGAAGATCAACTTCAAATATGAAAAAAATATAATCTAAGGACAGTTGAATCCTGCTGTTTTGAATCATTTGAAATTAGAAATAACTATGAGGAAAAGTTACCATAGTAAACTTCTAAAGAAAAAGTACTTTTAAACATTTTTTATAACTGCAGAATGCACCCAGAGGGTATAATATTTCTCTCTAAATGCCACAGTAGCATCATAAATTTTTCATTATTTAAATCAAGTATATGTGTTTTTTTTAACTTAGTAGAATATCTCACAACTATTACCATTCCCTTTTGTATAAATTAAGATGACTTTGTTAAATGTTTTCATTATTCCAACATTCTAATAGGCAATATAATGAATATAATTTACTAACTGCACTTATTTTGTATGACCTTTTCTTCACCTTATTTTGACTCAAAGTCATGGCATAAGTTTGTGCCTTAATTGCTCTTGCTTCCTTGGCTGCAGTGATCAGTTGTGTTTGCTAATTTTTGTATTGTTGGGCTATTAACAGTTCGCATGGACTCATGTCACTTTACTGATAATCGTTACTCAGTCACATCTTGTCATCCAAAATCTGTTTGAAGGCATGATATGGTAAGGGAACAGTATTATGCTGCATTGTATTTTATGTATAGTTTTATAAAAACTTTTTAACAAGGGCCAGTATCTTACAGATTTCTGCTAAAACCTATTGGTTATGTTTTGTTCCCCTATTCCATTTCAATAACTTGAGTTTTGCTTATTGTTTGGCAACTGAAGACAAAATGCTTCATTAACCCTTAGAAACCTTACTTAAGGAGCTCCAGTGGCGCAATCGGTTAGCGCGTGGTACTTATAAGAAACCTTACTTAATGTTCCCAGTAAAATGCAGAAAGTTCTCATGAAGAACCTAAACAATTGCCTTTGTAGATGATAGTAGCCTTTTTACAAAGGCTAGACTTCAAAGATTTTTTTGTTTATATGGAATACAGAAGAATATGAGATTGTGCTTGCCAGCCCTGTCAGAAGTGCCTTCTCTCTAGTTGTCTGCTTCCGTGCTAGTAGCTTCCAGAGTCCCTATGCTGACCTATCAGCTCTGTGGTAGGAGCCTGTAGATAACAGCAAGCATTTTTATTAGTCAAAACTTCTAGAATTTATTATTTAACTAGTTGGAATGAAGAAAAATGGAAAGTTATATATAATGGAAAGTTATATATAAAGACTGGCCATCCTTTTTAACTTAGTAGCTAATATTTTTTAGAGTTGTTGGGTCTTGTCAAGATAAGTTTTATTACTTCAACAGCTTATGATTTTTGCTAAAACTTGTATGTGTGCATGTGTCTGTATTAAAACTAGGAATTACTTATTTTAAGCTTGTCTGCCATATAAAATACTTTAATCAATGGAAGACAGTTACTGAAGTAAGTAGGTTATATACAAGTCAAAGAGTTTAATGCAATCATAGACTTGCAAAGAAATAATTAAAATTAATATTTATAAAATCGAATTTTCATTAAGAACTTGATACCATTTTATCAGACTATAATCTGTCTACACCAATGATTCATTTCCATTTAAAAGGCTGCTTTTCTTAAAAGAAATCTCATACTTTATAACTTGTTCCTCATAAAACTCAAATGTAAATATTCATGACTATAGAAATTGTTATTTTTTAGCAATGCTGTAGTACTATGTTACTTATTGATTTCACTGTGCTTAATGGCTAAATGAGCAAATATGGTTATTTATTGCTTTTGCTAATGTTTTGTCATGTGTCATGTTCTGAACTAGGCCAGAGTGTAATCTTAATGATTATTATCTTGGTTCATAATGACTCATAACATATAAAAATATTTGCTACTTAATCATTCAGGCTGTTTCTGCTGACTTTTTTTTTAAGGTTCCTTGTTCCAATATCAAGTGTTATCTGCAATGACATCACTGCTTACCTTTTTGGATTTTTTTTTGGAAGAACTCCATTAATTAAGGTAATGGAAAAAGCAAGCTCCTCTCATAGCCTTAAAGATTAGATTCTGGAAAACATTTCCTACAACTTTTTTGCTGTTGCACATTTTTTTTTGTTTATTCTCAGGTGCTTGGGATTTTCCTTACCTGTATTTAGTAACTATAGTGTAAGGGCCATTAATTCTTTCTGGGTTCTTCATCAGTGTTTACTGGCTCTGGTACAGGCCGGGCCCCATGACTGACCCTGCTTCTTGAAGGTTCATTTGCTTTCCTCTCAACTTGTCTCCTCAACTATCTCTTTCTTTTCCAATTTTTTTCAAAGAGCAAATCATACCATTTTCATATACCCTTTTCTAATTTCTTCAGATTTTATACACAAATTCATATTTAGAAACGATTTGAGAGACTTAGGGTAAAATACTGAGAGAGTGGAAAAATAATGACAAATAGCAGAAGGAGTGTGTACTTGGACAGACCATTTTGTTTTACTTTAGATTTGATTCTCCTCATGGGTAGTGGAGATGAAGAGATAAGCAAGGTGATTTTACCAGAACAGATGGAATCTAGTTACACAGTTCTTATTTGGGAGAAGAAACAAATGGAAATCAAACCTTTTGCTAGAACTAATTTCTTTAAAGAAACCTTGCTTTCACATTGGGACTTCAGACAGGAGTCACTAACTTCACAGAAAATTCTTCAATAGTGTTCTCATATATATATTGTTTTTTTACATAAGTGGGATTTGAACTCAGGGTCTCAAACTTACTAGGCAGGTCCTTGGCAACTGGAACAAAGTTCCCAGCCCAGTTACTTAATTACTTTGATGTTCTCATTCAGAGACTGCTTTGGAGGGATTTAAGGCCATTGTTTAGAATTATCATGCCGTTTGTTCAGAGTGAGTGAAGGTTCCTGGAGAAATATTCCTGGAGTGAGGAATGCAGGGACTCCCTGTCCTTCAGAAAACCTTGGTCAACCCTTTTCCCTGTGAGAATGCAAACTCAGCATCAGGCTGAGCTGCATGGATACTGCAGGCTGGTATGTACCTTTGAAATATGTCTAAAGCTGCTGTATCAAAAGAACAAATATTCCAAGAGTCTGTGCAGGCCAAGCTTTTGGCTTAAGAATTACTTCAGAAAGACTGCTAGAGACAGAGAAGAATCTGATTTTGAACTTTGCCTTCTAGTTATTTTTGCCAATCTGGATTAGTTGTATAATAAACCTAGATGATTGAGTAATTAACTCATAATATGAGGTGAGTCACCTTGATTTGATAAAGTCAGTTTTAATCTTGAATTTGAGTCCATTCATAGCTCATGATATTATGTTCCTTTCCTAAGAAAGGCCTGTTAGAGACCTTGAAAAGGTACCATGGCTGCCAACTGTGTTGGTTTGAGGAGTTATGAACATCAGGACAATGGGCATACAGAGAGCTTAGGTATCTTGGCTTATACCCACTTCTCATGTACTTCTTTCCAATGTTCAGCTTCTGTCGCTGCTATTCCAAAGATCATCTGTGATCTCTAGATGACTAAATCATCGCACACATCTCAGTCCTTTCTTATCTAATACGGTTGTTTGGGGCAATCAGTACAGTCCATTCCTACCTCCTCTTGTCCCTGCATCACCAGGTTCCAGATTTCTCCACCCTTCTCTCCCTGAATGCCCCATTGACCTGGAAACAATAGCCCAGTGGCGAAGCAAACACTATCCATTATTATAAGCACAACAAGTTCTTTTCTTTTTGTAGACAGACATAGATTGTTAAAAAACAAAAAGTGGGAGGAAGAGGCTAGGGAGAGGAGAGGAAGGGCAAGGAGAATTTGTAAATACTTGAATTTCAGGCTGTGGAGTATTTCATTGAGAAAAAAGATTTCTTGTATAGATAGTACAGTAGAAATGTATGAAAACCTGAGCTAGGCATGGTGGCAACTTGCTGAGGCAGATCACAAGTTCTAGGCCAGCCTGAGCTTCATACATACTGAGATCCTGTGTTCCCTTTCCCCCACACAACTAGCCACATTCCCACCAAGAAAAAGAAGGGAGAAAGGGAAGGAAGACAAGGAAGCAAGGGAGGAGAAAACATAAAGGTAGATGGTATTCTATGATGTCTGTGTTTTATTGTATTCAAATTTTGGTTAGTAGGTTAACACTAGTCTCACACCCTTGGAATTGTACTTTTCCCAGAGAACCACAAAAATTATGGGATGATTTTCTCAACATAGAGTTGATGGCTCTTTGATAGGAAAAAAGCAAATTACTTCACAGAAACAAATATTCATAGCAGATTCCACATGTTAGAAATTCTAGATGCTAGTTAAGATAGATAAGGATCATGGGATGAAGGGAAAATAATTCAGACAGTTATAAGAAAAACAAGGAGAGCTATAGAAGGTATTGAGCGGACACCTTGAGCAGTGTTTGCATATGGAATATGTGTTTTTTTTAAGTGAATAACTCTTCTTTATTTATTTGATCTTTCTAGTTGTCTCCTAAAAAAACGTGGGAAGGATTCATTGGTGGTTTCTTTTCTACTGTCGTGTTTGGATTCATTGTGAGTTTTACTATGAACTCTATATTTTGAAAAATTGTTCTGAGTCGACTTTGAATCTTCAAAGAAGTCAAACCTTAAAATTCTACGGTTCTTATTTAAACCTAAACAGAGCACATTTTGTACCCCAATAGTTTTCATCCTGGCTACATATTAGAACAAATTGGGAACTTAACAAAATTTATGTCTTCACCTTACCCCAGGGTGATGAGATTCACCATTGTGCTGCTGAGTTTTGATAGTTTTCAAAAGCTGCTTAGCCCTGTGGGGTTCATACTGCTCCAGGAAGGAGTGTCTTTCAGTCCTAGCAGATATGCAGATGATGTTGAAGAGCTCTGATTTCTTAACACTGTGGTTACTTGGCTCACTTGGTAGTTCCTGCTTGTGAGACCAACTTGAGGGACAAGTTAATTCTAAGTAGATATTAATGTTAACTTTTTTTGTGTATGTGTGCTGGTCGTGGGGCCTGAACTCTAGGCTTGGGTGCTGAACTCTAGGCTTGGGTGCTGTCCCTGCTAGCAATCTACCACTCGAGCCACAGTTCCATTTCTAGCTTCTTTGGTAGTTTAGAGAAGATAAGGGTCTCACAGACATTCTTGCCCAGGCTGGCTTCTAACTGGGATCCTCAGATCTCAGTCTGCTGAGTAGCTAGGATTACAGGCATGAGCCACCAGTGGCCCACCTAAGGTTAACTTTTAACACTTAGATAATGGGTATTCTTTTTGTTTAAAAATTAGTTTAAGATTGTAGAATTTGGGGCTGGGAAGGTGGCTCAGTGGTAGAATGCTTGCCTTGAATGTATGAGGCCTTGGGTTCGATTCCTCAGCACCACATAAGCAAAAAGAAAAAAGCTGTAAGTGGCGCTGTGGCTCAAGTGGTAGAGCGCTAGCTTTGAGCTGAAGAGCTGAGGGACAGCGCTCAGGCCCAGAGTTCAGGCCCCACGACCGGACCCAAAAAATAAAAAATTTAAAAAAAAGATTGTAGAATTTAGGTTTTTATTAAAAGATGTCTGGTGATGTTTATGTACAATATTATATCAAAACACTATAGTAACTATACATGAAGCTTTGAGAGAGGGTAAATATACAAATACATGGTAATGTGCTGTTGTTCTAGATGGGGGAACACCATAACCACCAATAATTTATTTTTGGGGGGGGTTCCAGTTATGGGGCCTGAACTCTGGGCCAGGCGCTGTCCCTCAGCTCTTCAGCTCAAGGCTAGTACTCTACCACTTGAGCCACAGCGCCACTTCCAGCTTTTTTTTTTTTTTTGCTTATGTGGTGCTGAGGAATTGAACCCAGGGCCTCATGCATGCAAGGCAAGCGTTCTACCACTGAGCTACCTTCCCAGCCCAACCACCAATAATTTATAAACTTAATTTATTCTGATTGAAAGTGCCAAATGAAATTTGATTTAAAAAATAAAGTTCTGAAATACAGTATTGATTAGATGATAATTGGTAAATGTAATAGTGAGCAAGGATCCAATCTTAGGCCAATATTTAAACATTAAAAAGTAAAAATAAAACATTAAGTACTTTCACAATTCAGTCCTTGACTCTTCATAGCTTCTTAACTTGTTAAGATTTAGTTATGTGTACTTTAAGATCTTGGCTGGGCATGGACAGTTCATACCTGTAATGCTTAACTACACAGGAGACTGAGATCTGAGGATCATACTTTGAAGCCAGCTTGGGCAGGAAAGTAATGACACCCTTATCTCCAACTAACCACTAGAAAACCAGAAGTGGCACTGTGGCTCAAAGTGGTAGAGTGAGCACTAGCCTTGAGTGAAAAAGCTCAGGGACAGTTCTCAGGCTCTGAGTTGAAGCCCCATGAAAACAACAACAGGGGTGGGGTGGCAAATAAGATCTTGCCATAATGCTTTTTCTAAATGGTTAAATCAGCCTTTTCCCCCTCCCACTTTGTGGTTCCATGGAGTTCTCATTGCTTTCAAAAACTCTTTTGCTTTCTAAAGGTTTTTCAAGTTGTTCAGTGGACAAATGTTACCCTTCTAATTTTACAAATGTATAGTGGACTGTTTATAGAAATTTTAGTGTTGCACGTCTGGGCTTTCTCACACACACTCATCTGTGTTTGGGTAATGTTTCACAAACACCTGCTTTGTTCTTCAGGCTGCCTATATGTTATCCAAATACCAGTACTTTGTCTGCCCAGTGGAATACAGAAGCGATGTCAACTCTTTTGTTACAGAATGTGAGCCCTCCGAACTTTTCCAGCTTCAGAGTTACTCTCTTCCTCCCTTCCTAAAGGCAGTGTTGAGAAGGGTAAGAATGAACACACATCTGGGGATGCTTCATCCAAACACTAAGTTTCCTTGAAAAGTCAGATTTGTTTTAACAGAGGAAACAATTTCTGTAGCACTTTTAACTTCATAGTATAAAAGTGGCTTTCCTGTTTGGTTATCAGGGATAATATACCTTATCCCTTGTGATTTATTTCTGAAGCATAAAATGTTTATTACACATCATTTATATACAAGGTGTATGTTTACTTAATAATTTAAATGGTGTTAATTTTATATTTATTTTTAAAGTATTTTTTAAAAATCCCAGTAGGTTTTTTACAAACCAAATGGTTAGAATGAGTTTTACATGTTACTAGTATAAATTTGGCTCAACTTACAAGCTGGAAATTTTGTGTATGTGTGTACATGCGTGTGTGCATGCATGTGTGTATATGTGTGTGTGTGTTTGTGTGTGTGTGTGTGTGTGTGTGTGCACATGCATATACACTGGTTCTGGAGCTTGAAATCAGCACCTGGGCACTGTCCCTGAGCTCTTTTGCTGTTCCATTTACTTGAGCCACAGCTCCGCTTCTAGCTTTTTGGGGGTTACTTGTAGGTAGATTTTCCTGCATTGGCTGACTTTAAACCCACAATCCTCAGATCTCAGCCTCCTGAGTAGCAAGGGTTACAGGTGTAAGTCACTGTTGCCTACATGTTTTTTAATTTAAAAAAATCTCTCAAGTAGTTGTACAAAAGTGTTTTAATTCAACATATAAATTTATAAGTACCATGCAAAAGTTTGGAATTGACTCAGTTTAACAATTAAGATTCATCAATTGAAAAAGCCCTCTTTTCTATTAGTATAGAAGCTTCTAAGAATTAATTTTTCTTCCAAAAGCACATTTTTTGCTGCCATTTAAACCATTTTTGAGGTCAGGTCTCACACCCTTTAAATATGTTCGCATGTCACTGGTAGAACTCTGCTGACCTGCATTATGTCATCAGGACTGTGGTGTCATTAGCAGGAGTCAAATTACTGATCGTGTTTGTGTCTTCATGCAGACACATGTGTATCTCAAACTTTTTATTAAACTGTGATGGTTAACCTTTTTATAGAAGCAGGTTAACCAATAGTGTATTTCTTTTCTTGAGTTCTCAGTAGTAACACAAGGATTTCAAGAAGCTTTTCAATACCCCTGCCCTGTTACCTGCTATAATATTTCCATGGTTCCAATCTAGGATTCATGGAAAGACTGTTGTTTGAGAGTAGATCCAAAAGTTGGTAAACCAAACATTTTTCTTGGACCACACATTTGTGATATCTATAAGTTGTAGTTATTTAAAGGACAGCAAGAGCTATCAATTTGCAAAATAATTTGACTATAGTTATTTATAATTGTCTCACTTATGCTCATTTTGGTAGTATTTTTGTTGTTGCTGTTTTCTTTGTTGTTTTTTGTTTTTTTTGAGACATGGTTTTGCTGAGTGCCCAACAAACTCTCAAGAGTTGAGATTACAGGCTCTTGACAGATTTTTTAAAAACTTATTTTTGTTGTGTTTCTATAGCATTTAAACTTAGTTTTAAGATGAAAAGCCAACTTTCCTGTATTTCCTTATATTCAATTAAATAAAATTATATACACATACCAGGCACTGGTGACTCATGCCTAAACCCAGCTTACTCAGGAGGCTGAGATCTCACGATCGGGGTTCAAAGCCAGCCTAGGCAAGAAAGTCTGTGTGACTCTTATCTCCATTTAAGCACCACAAAAGCTGGAAGTGGAATTGAGGCTCAAATGGTAGAAGATTAGCCTTGAGCAAAGAAACTCAAGGATATAGCACCCAGGCCCTGAATTGAAGCCTCAGGCCCAGCATACACATAAAAAAATTATATGTGTGTGTGTGTGTGTGTAGTACAAAATTTGTTATATAATTATAAAAGCAAAGTACTACTAGTAAAAATAAAGCATTTGTAGGAACTAATCAGTCACATACTGTTGCAGAAATCTTAGATGAACCAGAAAACATTTACCACTTTGAGAATAACTGCGCAACTGGCCCATGTTTTGTTTGCATGGGGTTGGAGAGTGCTGGCTAAGTAGAAGACAGGACAGAGGGTCTACAAGTGTAATTTTCTCCCATTATTGTGAAATTAGCAAAAAAATTGTGGGTCATTTCTGACTTACTGTTTATATTATGGTTCCTAGATGAGGCACATGTTCAGATATAACTTTAATACAGTTGTTCCACTATCTGTCTTGTTTTTCTTCTTCTCATCTGTAGGAGACAGTGAGCTTGTATCCCTTCCAGATACACAGTGTTGCTCTTTCAACATTCGCATCTTTAATTGGCCCCTTCGGAGGCTTCTTTGCCAGTGGATTCAAAAGAGCTTTCAAAATCAAGGTGCGTATTTAGATTGTGCTGCATTATTAGTGAACATAGAGACTGCATCTTCGTGGAATTTGGTTCAGTATGAGTCTCCATTAAACCCATATGCAAAAAATTACACTGTGATTTCTTTCAACCTCACAGAAATGTGTTTAGCTGGTTTGAGTATATTCTTTTGTGTTAGGTTTTGGTTGTGCCAATTTCATACCTTCTAAGGGTCATGTCATATTCTTATAGAAATGGCATGTTCTCTTGATGTTGGTAGACACGTGGAATACTGTTCTCATGCGTGTTCATCCAAGTATGAAGTTGGGTTTTTTTTTGTCAGTCATGGGCTTGAACTCTGGGCCTGGCACTGTCCCTGAGCTCTTCGGCTCAAGGCTAGTGCTCTACCACTTGAGCCACAGCATCACTTGAGCCGAAGAGCTCAGGGACAGTGCCAGGCCCAGAGTTCAAGCCCCACGACTGACAAAAACAAACAAAAGAGTCTCACAGACTTTCCTGCCCAGGCAGGCTTTGAACCACAATCCTCAGATCTTAGCCTCCTCAGTAGCTAGTATTGCAGCCATGCGCCACTGGCGCCTGGCGTCAGGTATACATTTTTTAAAGTTTAGCGTTTTTCCCCTCAAAAGGGTATAAAGAAGAGCCTTTGTTGTGTCCATCCAGCTCACTTATGACTTATCAGATTCTGGGAAGGGCAAGTAGTAAGTTGCAATAGGTTTTGCACATCAGTTGTTCCATCAAAGTTAGTCAACACTAAACTCCACTAATGGATGATCTATGTGAATCTGTTTGTAGATGCTTACCATTCATCCTGTTTATCTAGCCATTAAATAGACTAGATAGGCACTTGCAATTTTCCTTTCATCCCAACACTTAAGAAGAAGAAAAGTTTATCATAGCAGAATGATCGTTCTAGGGCAGTAACTGTTGAAATAAGCATGAGTTAGGGTCCATTGTCTGTCTGTCTACAGTAAATCCCAGATAGCTTCTAGCTAAGTAAAAGGATAGACTAGAAAGAAATTAGATTTCTAAGCTGATAGAAATTTTACTTAGAAAAAATTTCATTAATGAGAAAAATTTAGTGCTAGACCTAACTGAATAGTTTGTGTTGGATATATTCTAAAAAATGTGTGCTTAGTGAAAGAACTTTGATAGCAGAAGTATTTTTCTTATAGAATGCATCATGCCAGACGAGATACGTACAGATAAGAATTTTACGTGCTTGTTAACGCATTTGTTTATTTCGATAGGATTTTGCAGACACCATTCCTGGGCATGGTGGGATAATGGACAGATTTGACTGTCAGTATTTGATGGCAACGTTTGTGCACGTGTACATCACCAGTTTCATAAGGTACATATATATTTTTAAAACTTTGCATTACACTATTTCTTTGAGTTCTCATTTCCATCGATATCAGTTTTACTAAGTCAATATTTTCCGTCAGCGTACTTGACAATACCAAAGTAAATGGTTTCGCCTTTGGAGAAGAATTGTTAAATAATCATTTCGCATATATTTTAGTAACTTAAAGCTACAAAATAGTATATGCCATGTTTCTTAACGGGACAAAGCTGAAGACACAGTTAATGTAAACGATATGGGAAGGGAGGGAAACACGAGGTTTAGCTTTTCAGCTGTGGTAATTGCAGTGATTACGAATAGGTTCAGTCTACTGAATTCTTGTTTGAATGCCTGTGACACACTAGCATATTCCAAGTGTCGATGTAGCAAAGAACAAAACAAACCAGGCTCCCAGAAATCTGAGCTTCTTGTTGGGAGGTTGGAGAGTGGAGGAACCAAAATGGGTAAGTAGGTAGGGCTCGTTAGGTGGTTCTAAGTGGTGTAGAGGTAAGAAAAGCCTGGGAAAGAGGCTTTGTTTACCCCCGTGAGGGGCACGGGTGGGTGGTAAGTGGTGTTGCTATTTTATATAATGTAGCTTACTTATGTTGCTAAGCCTTACTGTTATGGACCTGCCAGTTTGGGGTGTAAAAGCTGACCACAGCAGCCACGTGTTTGTGGTTTGTTTTGTGGTCTGTACTAGCATTCAGAAGGAATGACACCCCAAGCCTCAGAAATCATACATGGATCTCCCTCAGAGTGCTAGAGTGAAACTTATTTATATATTCCCAAGTGTATACTTTAAATATATACTCATAACAATACAGTAATTTATGTATTATTTTGGGGGAGAATGGAGGACAGTCCTAGGAGGAGTGAATTATTTTCATTAATATCTTCTAAGCATCAGCTTTGTTAATTTTTTTTTTATGTGTGCATACAGTTTAACTTTCATTGGTATCTGCTACTGTTTCTCATTCCTTTAACTGCTTTTAGGTTCAATTTGCCATTCCTTTTCTAGCTTCTTGAGCTGAAGCCCAGATTATTTTCAACCATCTTGTCTCATAGAGCCCATCCACGGCTATAAACTTCTTTGTTACAATTTTATCCTCATCCTATAAGTTGTGGTATTTATATTTTATTGTTTAGTTACAAATACTTTCTGACTTCCAGTAATAATATTTTTTGACAAAGGGTTTATTTCAAAGTATATTGATTGATTTCCAAATAATAACTATTTTTTTCTTGTTTATTTATATTTGCCATCATAGTGCCACAGTGGTTGGAAAACACATTCTTGATATTAGTATTTCTTTTTTGAAGCTTTCTTTGTGCTCTTGTTCATATTTCATCTTCATATGCAACACATGTGTTTTGCACATTTTAGATACAATATTATGTGTATCAGAAAAATTAAATGTTTGGATTATTTTGTTTTATTTTTATAGTCTGGCTATGCTATCAGTTACTAAAAGGGCTTTGAAAAAAATAACCAAAGAACTTGATTAAAATCTCTTGCTCTTGCTGTGATTAAAAATGTATCCTTCTGTTAACTTCTGTTAATTTTCAGTGTGTATTTTAGGCTTATTTTGTATTGGCTAAATACCAATTTAATCATATTTTTGTGTTGAATTGATCCTTTGTCATAAAATGACCATGTTTATTGACTTGCCTTAATGCCTACTTTGTTGTATCTTTTTTTTCCTAGTAGTATTTTGTCTAGTCTTTTAACATTATCTATTTTTATTTTTAGCAATACTAGTGCTTGAACTTAGGGCCTCACATTTGCTAGGCAAGCACTTACAATTGAGCTATGCCTCCAACCCTTTAATGCACTAGTTATTTTCAAGATTTTTATTCCTTGGATATGCGCTTGGACTTTGATCTTCTTGTTGTTATAGTTGGGATGACTAGTATGTGCTACCATAACCAATTTCTTTTACTAATGTTGGAGTTTTGTGAATTTTTTTCCTGTCTACACTAGCTTTGAACTGTCATCGTCCTTGACCTTAGCCTTTTGAGTAGCTAGGATTACAGGCATGAGCTACCAATGTTTGATTTTTAACATCCTTTTCTCTTTATTTCTAATGGTGTGTTTTCAACCAAGCATACAATATATGTTTGTTCCTTTTTTTTTTAGGACAGTTGTGGGGCTTGAATTCCAAGCTTGGGCATTGTCTCTGAGCTTTTCAGCTCAAGGCAAGCACTCTACCACTTGAGTCACAGTGCCATTTGCAGTTTTCTGGTGATTAATTGGAAATGAGAGTCTCACGGACTTTCCTGCCTGGGCTGACTTTGAACACCATCCTCAGATCTCAACCTCATGAGTAGTTAGGATTATAGTCGTGAGCCATCAGTGCTGGCTTATTCCTATTTTTTAATGACCTTTGGCAATCCTTACGATTTTAGAGTTGCACAGCTGCATATTTCCTTGTTGCTATAGTTGGGTAATGAATGGTTAAATCTTTCCAAATGTGTATTTTTCTGAAATTGGTTTATATTCTTTTGTGGAAAAAAAAGAATAAGCAAAAAACAGAACTTGCCTCTCTCAGTGGAGAGAAGTCATGCCGAGCACTGCAGTCCGTGTTTGAAAGCAGATACTCTACCGCGACCCACTATTAGAAGTGCCGCCAGGGTACTGAAGCACCTGTGCACACAGTTTTGCATTTAGTTGGACCTGTTAGAAGAGCCTCTTTTCTCACCTACCTTGGGTTTATGCTACGAAGCTGCTGAGTCTTTTGCAGAAATGTAATTGGACAAGTTGAGTCCTGACTCAACCTGAGTGGACTGGGACTTGCAAGGCAGATGGCCACAGGGTTTAGGAAGATGGACTGAGTCATGTGCCAGAAAGATGGCCCAGGGGGTTGATAAACTGAGCCATTGTGTACTTTATTAAAGGTTTTTAGGACAAATCTCTCCTCTGTTCATCCTCAACAATAATCCTATATTGTAGTCTATATTGATGGAATGTATATATATATTTTTTTGTCTTTTCTTTTTTGGTACTGGGGATCGAACCCAGGACGTTGCGCTTGCTAGGCAAGCGCTTTGCCACTGAGCTACATCCCAGCCCTGTTGGAATGTATATTACCTGTTACATACTGTAACTAAACCGTCGAAGCCATAAATGTACTTATATAAATGGCTTCTAAAGAATTTTGTACCCTCCCATATATTACTTGTTTTCTTCCATAAGTTGAGTTTGTGTGTGTGTGTGTGTGTGCGTGCGTGCGTGCGTGCATGCATGCATGCTAACACTGGGGCTTGAACTCAGGGCCTGGTCACTGTCCCTCAGTTTTTTTTGCTCTACCACTTGAGCCACAGTTTGACTTCCAGTTTTTATTGTTGTTGTTGTTGGTGGTGGTGAATTGGAGTTAAGTGTCTCATGAACTTTCCTGCCCAGACTGGCTTCTATCTCAGCCTCCTGAGTAGCTAAGATTAGAAGGGTGAGCCGTGGTAGTCCCACACTGGAATTCATTTTTGTCTTTCCACAGAAGGGAAATCATGCTCTGCCTTTCCTGTTCAAGAGGACTGTGGAAGAGGCAGAGAGCTATAAGTATACATAAGATTCAAATTAGGTTCATTCTTAATTTGTCACACTGTGTCTTAGAAGTATACACACAGAAACACAGGTAATCTCCAGTTTATAAATGCACTGAGTTCTCAAGTCTGGGTGACAGGGAAGTGTCGTCACACAACGGTAGTGCCTTGGGGAGGGAAGGTGACAAGGCCTGCAATCCTACCCTGACTGTACACACTGTGGCCAGTGCTGCAGCCAGAGGGTGGGAGCAGAGACTAAGAAGATCCAGGAAGCCATGATTACTGGAGGGAGGAGTTGCTCGGGCTCCTGAGGTGAGGTCTGCGCAGAGGAGGGTATGGCCACTGCCCCGGCAATCACTTGAATTCACCTGGACTTGTTACTTCCCCATGTGCGACTGGGAGGAGGGCAGGGCTTCCTCCTTTCAGACTAAGCAGATAAGGCTGTCATTCTGTTTGCCGTATTTGGATTTACTTAAGATTTTCTCTGAACCAAAGCCCTGGCATCTATTATTATACAGTCCTGGGGGACTTCGGTGCTATACTTAGGACTTTTGTGTTCTCTTTGAATGAACATTCACCGTTCCCTAGGGATAGTTCCTTAACAAAGTATCTTCCACCATCTGAAATTTTTTGAAGCTAAAACATTGTAGCTATATTTTCATGCCCTCTTTTTCATTTAATCTCTGTTAGGCTTCTTGCCTTAGAGAATGTTTTCTTTTTGTGTCTTGTCCAGTTTTAAGATTCGATTTTTGCCATAACCTTTTAACACAGGCTGCTCTGTGGGGCATTTTTGTAGCATGTAGATTTACACACTTCTAACATGGCCAGTGTTGTTTTTTTTTGTGTTTGAGTGTGTGTGTGTGTGTGTGTGTGTGTTTCATGTGTGGGCTGTCCAAACTAGTTCTGGTTTCTTGGATTCACCCTTAACACTAAGAGCTTATCAAGAGCTGTTCCATTTCTGCAAAGGTTGTCGTTGCATTCTATTTTATATGATTATTATTTTTTATTGTCAAGATGATGGACAGAGGGGTCAAAGTTATATGTCTGTCAGGTATCGCTGTTGCGTTGGTCCCACCCACCCTTTGTCGCCCAGACTGATTCACATGAGCCATGTGCTTCACTGAGCCCTGTTGTCCTGTCTGTCTTATCGTCAGGGGTCCAAATCCCAGCAAAGTGCTGCAGCAGTTGTTGGTGCTTCAACCAGAGCAGCAGCTGAATATATACAAAACTCTGAAGACCCATCTTATTGAGAAAGGAATTCTGCAGCCTACCCTGAAGGTGTAATGGGACCCAGAGCGGGCAGCACTGTGTGGACAGAGACTACCGCAGAAGGGGGCCAGCAGAAGACATCTTGCACCTGTGCAGAACAGACGTGAATGTTTCTTCTCTGAAATTAATGTGAATATTTAACAAGCACTTAACCTGGTCTAAGTTATGAAACAAGAAGCAAATTGCCAGCAAAATACCCGGTTCTTTTTCTGAGATGTATTTTCTGATGCTAACTTCCCTCCTGGGTTTCACAATGGGAAAGACTTGTATTTTAGAGTTGAACACTATAAACTGAGGCTGTCTTAAGATCGCACCTGGCAGTGGGATCTTTTGCACAAATATTTACTTTGGCACTTGGAGCAGCCCTTTAATTTTAGCAGGATGTTTGAGTGTAAGGCGCTCGGTTCTCTGGGGCTTCCTCCTCCCACAGTCAGGTGTTTTCTGAAAGGTTGAGTGGAGTTTAAAAAAAAAGAAGAAGAATGGTTCTTTTCCCCTTCCTTCCCCCTTCACTTCCTTTCCTTCTCCTTTTCTTCCATTTCCCTACCTTCCTTCCCTCTTTCCTTTTCTTTTTTCGTTTGGTTTTTGTTTGCAGCGTTTGGAAATTGAACCCAGGGCTTCCTACGTGTTAGTCGAACATTCTACCACTGACCTACGCTCCAACCCACTGTCTTACCTTTCACAGAAGTAGAGAAAACATGCTGCTTTTTAGGTAGGTCCAAAATTAGTTTCTTAGAAAAGGGCATCACATTTCTACTACTGATAAAATTGTTCAAAAAAAAAAAAAAAAGACGTTCTCACAAAATCTTTCTGAGAGAAAACAGAATTCTGCCAGAACAAAGCATACTGATTCTCCATAGTTTCTCAGCAGAGGACTGAAGCTCAGGAGGTGGTCCAGGGCAGGGTCATGTGTTTGGGCCTCTGGGTCCAGGCCTCTGCCTTCTAGGGGTGACCAGCCTCCGGCACATCGGGGCTATCTCTCAGTATCTAGAGAATGAGGAAGGGGACCGATGTTTAACTGAGCGGGAGTGACCTACCTACAGCAGGCTTTGCTCAGCTGTGTCCTATCTGCATGGCTGCCTGTGGTCTCCAGGGCAGTTCTTTGGAGACTCATCTGGAAAGAAAAGAGGACAATCTGTCAGATTCCCAGCCCCAGACCAATTCTATAGTAGCTACTCTATCCCCTTGCCCTTCCTCATTTGCCAAAAGACCCAAGGATATCAGCTGACTGGCTTTTTCTTCCATGAATGAGAATCAAGCAGAAGTGATTTCCCACCCAGAACAAAAAACACATGAATGCCAGATCTTTCCTTTGGGTGACTGGACATGGAACCCAGATGAGAGTAAAATTTCTCCTCAGTGGACGTTAATAAGCTACTGTCAAGACTCTGCACTGGACAGTGGGCAGTAAACCTTTAAAACCATCCAGTGCACCTGGTGAGAAGGTCATGGGAGAAATAGATATATTTTAAAGAGTCTTTTGCTAATGCAGAGAGTAAATATTATATTTAAATCAAAAAGATTTAAATTATTTTGTATTTCCATGCTACTACTATTCCTAAAATAAAAGGTAAAATGGTAGAGTTATTTTGTATTTCCGTGCTACTACTATTCCTAAAATAAAAGGTAACATGGTAGACATGCCTGAGCTTCACAAGCAAGCCTGTAGCCTTGAGCCTCACCATGCGAGCTGCACGTGTATGCTGGAGCAGGTGTGTCCATGCCAAGAGTCTCATTGGTGGGGCCAGCACTGAGGTGACGGCATGCTGGACATGTTCGGTCAGCACTGTCTCCAGAAAAACCCAGAACTGCCACTGAAAACATTTTAGAAGGAGGGAATTACTTTTTAAAATCAGGCCACATACAAGTTAATTTTTAGCATGCTTTTATTTGCCCCATCAACAGCTCCAACTGTGAATCATAAATGAATTTAGGATACCAAAGCTTAAAAACAAAACTCAGTGTGATGGATCTTAGATGGAAACCCTGGCAGTTTGCACAAGTAAAAGTTCCTTGAAGTTTTAGGCATCCCTCCACATTTTTATTAAAGTAATGCTGAGGCATTACCACACAGGATTATGAGAGCAGTAATAAATACATGTATTATGAAATATTATTATAAACTGAGAAACTAAAGAAGTATTTGGGGGTCACAGCTTTCCTCAAATATACTTTTAGAGTTGGGTGTACATTATCCTACATGTAAAAAAAACAGAGCTCTAACGATTAACCTTTTTGGCATACTTTTATAGCATGTATATTAAAATAGGTTATATTTTAGCAAACAATTGCCATAAAACCCTGACTTTGATTGTTTTTTATATTTGCACTGGGTAGCGAGTATACATCCCACAGTGGCAATGACACAGAAATGGTTTGTTCTTCCAAGTGTGCCATTTGGGAAAGTTCTCTAGTAGAATCTGATGCTTGCTTGGCTTTTTACCCCATGGGACGCACATGTTTTTCCAGGGTTCTTTCCTGTGCTGGTGCATATGCAGTTACTGTCTGAGAAGAAAAAAGACCACTTCTTCCCCAATTCTTTTCCTTTATAGTAACTCTTCATTTGCACTTTGGTTTAAACCTTGTTCAATGAAAAAGAAAAAAAAGTAGCAACAGTTGTATATACTGTATATGGGTGGTTGATAAGTGTCAATCAGTTCTCTGAATCTTTTTACTGAAACCGAGATAGGAAAAATAAAACAAAAACAAATCAGATTTTGACTCTGTTGTGCTTTTTTTCTCGTTGAGGAAGCTACAGTCTTTTATTGAACTGTGTTTACAAAATAGATGTTCCCTGGTATTGGATGTACTCTATCCCTGCTCCACAGCGCCACCTGCAGGGCAAAAGAAGGTAAGTTTTAGTGTGTGGCCTCACTGAATCTCTATGGTATATTCCAGGCTTTGCGATGATACACTTATTTTATGAATCTTAGAGTAATGCCAGTTTCTTACTGTAACTTCAAGCTGGCTGGAGTCCTGTTTTGTCAGTCATTGTGTTCCTAGTGACTGGTCAGAAAACCCCATCCCAGCTCTAAGGTGGGCTTCAGTGTTCCTCGCTGGGTGTTTGAAAGATTCAGGGAAAAGATGAGCATGCCCATTTGTGTCCAGCTTAGAACAGCTTGTGAGGAATCCTGGGTTTCCATCTTTCCCTCTGCTCCTCTGTGGCCCATCTCCTGTGGGAAGGCACAGGCTGGAATGAGTGAGCCGAGAAGGTCATTCCTGTTCTTTCTATGGCTCCTTCCTCACATGGAAGAGCCCTGCAGGTCACTGCAGCAACCTTGAATGTCTACAAGAATACTACTGACACCATGCTTTGCTCTGGGAAGAGCATACTGTGTTAGGTAAGCTGTGAGCAGGGTGGTGACAAATACATAGACTCCCCCCCCCCAGGTGTGTGGTAAGCCAGGGGGCCACCATCTCACCCCCACTGAGGCCCTGTCTGTCCACATCCAGATTTCTACCCCTCGAGAAACTTACAAAGCTTAAATTCACTAATAGGGGACTTTATTTGGAAGCCTGTGTGATAAGGTACAAATAAAAATCAGGCCAAATTAAAAACATGTCCAACTACAATTTCTGCATAGAAGTGGAGAACCTCCTCTTAACTCATCAGGTAAGTACCATGTGTCACCTTGCAAAGACTGACAAGTGGAACATTTGCTAGTGATGGCACAGCTGACAGATGTCACTCCTCTTCCCTAACATGTACAAAGGCTGTGGACTGACAAAGCCAGAGCCTTGCCAGACAGTCCTGCCATCCTCTTTAGTGATCAGCTAGACTCTGTCCTGCTCTAACCTTAAAACCCACAGGGTACAGGAGGTGGGCTGGAGTAGACTGGGTATAAACTCTTGCACCCTATTCCTGTGCTTCCAATTTGTGTCTAGTGAATCCCGGGGGGGCTTTCTGTTCAAGAATATGTGACCTTAAACTTCAGATGGGGAATGGGTGAGTGAAAGGTTTGGGAAACACTCTTGAATAGTCTATAAGGATATTTTTGTAGGATTGAGTACATCTCAGAAACTTGTGAAGGAGCGGGAATCAGAATTTTGACTGGTCAGAGATTCTATTTTCTTCCAACAAGATTTATTGAGATGTAACATCTGTACTATAATATTGCAGTTGGGACATATTTCTCTATCTTTCAAAAAGTTCCTGGTGTCCATTTGTAGTTAATCCCCCCTCTCTCTCCTCTCTCCTCTCTCTCTCTTTCCTCTCTCTCCTCTCTTTTCTCTCTGTTGTGGGGCTTGAATTAATCCCTACTCTTAACTGTCAACCTTAGATAACCACCAGTCTGCCTCCTGACTACACAGATTAGCCTTTTATAGACATCATAGAAATGGAACTTCCAGTCTGTCACACTCTGCGTCTGGCACAATGCCTGCATATATTAGTTCATCTCTTTTCTTTTGATGAATTTTGTGGTTTGCTAATCTGTTGATGAGCATTTTGATTATTCCCAGTTTGGGACTCTTATGAAAAATACTGCCATAAATATTTGTGGACAAATAAGTTCACATTTCTATGGTGTGCTGCTAGGGTGTGATGGCCAAGTATTATGACAAATCCATGTTTTTAAGGAAATAATCAAATTTAGTTTTGTTTGATATATGGCCTTTCTAGGTATCCTAGGCTGACCTTAAACACAGAGTCCTGCTCCCAGTGCTGGGATTAGTAGCGTGTACTATCATATCCATCTCTAACTCAAACTTTTCTTAAGAGGCTATATAATCTTGCATTGTTTTATTTGTTGGTTTAATTTGACCTTTTGCTGGTACTGAGGCTTAAACTCAGGGCTCCACACTTGCTTAGCTTGCTTTCTTTGCTAGTGCTCTTCTGCTTGAAACGTGTCTCCAGCCTGGCTTTTTGCTGATTATAGATGGAGTCTCCATGAAGTCTCTTGGACTTTTCTTCACAAGCCGGTTTCAAACAGCAGTCCTCCATATCATGGCCTTACTAGCAAGGAGCCACTGGTGCCGAGCTCAATCTTACATTCTTGCTTGCAGTATATGAGAGTCCTTGTTTCTTTACACCCTTAACCAAACTTGCTATTTTTCTTTTATTTTACAGGCTTTTGGGCTGAAGTGTATAGGTTTCTCATTGTGGTTTTCACTGGCGTTTCTATGATGGTAAATAATAGCATTTCATCTGCTGATTTCTAACTGTGTGATCACCCAGGTGTAATGGAATTGTATTACTATATTGAATTTGCCTTTTGAGGATCCCATGAGAAGCCTGCAGCTTGGCCACGGGTGTATGGATTCCTAGACTCCAGGCTGCCACTGTGTAGCGGTGTGACCTTGTCTAGGAGTATGCCAGTCCCAACATCAAAACCTTCCCACACCCTTCCCTGAGCCTGTCACTTCCAGTGACTTTACAAAGTGTGGGCCTTGTCCACTGTTTAAAATTAAGTGTCCCTTGGCAACTTGAGTTGTCACAGTCTGGCTAAATCTCTGAACCAATCTGTGCTGGCAGGGAAAGGGAGCAGCTGCAGGCAAG